GAACGATGCTAAAACTGAATATATATAAGTATCTTGATTTTGAAATCATCGAAGTATATTAAATTTTGACTCTATCATCTACTTTAAAGTATTTTAGTTCCATGTTTTATTGGGTTAAAGTGTAAACAATTTATTTGGTCGAGCATATATGGACAAAATTTTCTCACAATCAAGTTTAAAACTATTGTACTTTATCTAATAATTTCTATCTTATGTATTTTTCAAATTCCAAATTTGCAATACTTATATAATAATTATAAGATTTTCTTAAATTACAAATTATAAATATATATAGTTTTTAAAAAAAATATTTTTTTCTAAGATACTCAACTTAAGATCCTACCAATAAACACATCTCAAAACTAAAAACAAAATTAAAACTCTTAAACTCTACTTTTTCAAATTTAATACCAAATTAATGTAAGATACCCTAATTAACATACTACCTATAATGTTGCTCTTACGTCATTGAAAACACTATTTCACTTAAATAAATGTTACCCACACGGTTTTGATATGGTTACAATTAATAACGGTTATGGTTAGTAACAAACTGATTTATTTTTACGGTTAACGATTATGATTTTTTACCGGTTACGGTTTGAAATACAGTAACGGTTAGGTTTTGGTCATATGCCTTGTAAATACAGTAGACACTAGTTTTGGCTAATTACGGAAAAGACCTTTGTCTATGCGCATACGCCCCCAAAAAAATCTTCAAAATTGGGTACTATTTTTGTCGAACAGTTGGTGTGCATAAACCCACTAAAACTCCCGATGAGAGGCGTCATACCCATAAACCCTCAGAAGAAGATAGAAGCTGATTCGAATCCCGTCAAAGAATCAGAGTAAGCTTTTCTTCTTGTTTATATAATCAATTCAATCTCTCCTTTCTCTCTACTCTGTTTCTCAAGTTTCTCAGGAGTTCGATTTCTCTGGTTTGCGTTGTTGTAGTTACTATGAAGGCGAACGTCTTACTCATCTGCTCGACTTGATTCAGAGGTAAACACTCTCTAAACCCTAAACAATAACCATCACAAATATAGAATTTTGGTTTTGTTACGAATTTTTTTTTTATTTTTTTTGTGTGGAAATTAGAGAAATTGAGACTTCGAAGCTTTCGAATGTGAACTCATTGCCTGAGAAGATATGGCTCAAGGTTATACTACTTACTTTCTCTTGCTATGGTTTCTTTCTCAGTATTCGATTATCAACTAACTCCGTAATCGTTATGTATCTCAGAAACAAGTCGCGATTGGGATCAACGAAGTCACTCGTGTTCTCGAGAGGATGAAGTCCAACACTAGTGACCAACAACAAAACCCTAAACAACCTTCGGTTCAACTTCAGGTACAACGAAACTTCAACCCTCTAACAATCTCTCATTAGAGAAATTTTGTAGTAGCTCATTTCGAGAGAGTCATCACAGGTAGTGATTGTAGTAGCTGACTGTAAACCGAGGATGCTAACAAAGCATATACCCAACTTAGCTGCTTCCAGGGATGTTCCTGTTCTCTATATTAGAGACAACAAACGAGCCTCTCTCAGATTAGGTGAGTTGGTTAACCTCAAGACTGCTCTAGCCATTGGTGTTAAGGCGAGAGGAAACGAACTCAACCTAATACTCCAACAGCAGATTCTGCCGACAGATTCTTGATCCTGTAAGAGAAGGGAATTTTTTTTTATCTTGTTTCCATGTGATCCTTTCTCAGTGTAGTAGTAGTAGTATATACAGATAAATGACATTGACAACCAATTTAGCGATTTCAGTTGTCTCGAATGTATACATTGAGCTATTTTTCTTAGGATGAATTCCCGCTCTTGTACCCAAAAAGATTTTACTGTTTACGGCTCCTAGGCGCTGGCAATTGAGGATGGCTTCTCACTAACATTATCCACTTGTTTGCTCGGTTTTCCGTTCTGAGACTTCTTCTCTTCGTCCTTCTTTACCCGCACTGGTTGAAACTGTCACAATGAAAAAGAAAATGAATCAAAACTTGAATGAATAGATTATTGTGTCTAGTGAAGTTGAGCTTTTAATTTAATGAAGAACCTGATATATGGAGTATATCACATTTCTTCGTATTTGAGCCATCATCTCCAAGAATAGATTGTATCCTTCGAGCTTATATTCGATGAGTGGATCGCGCTGCGCATATCCTCTAAGCCCCACAGCTTGTTGCACAAACTTGAGTGCTTGAAGGTGTTCTTTCCATAACCGATCAATATTACTCAGGATTAAATATCGTTCAGCATCTTTCATTAGGCCTGGTGATTGTTTCTCCACGATTTCCTGTGAATAAAAGAAAAAGCTTAGTTAACCACACAGCTTCTGGTATCTTATACCAATGTAAAAAAGGCTTAGAAACCATCTATAGCTTACTCTTTTCTGCAAGTATGCATCACGGCCACGGGCACGGAGATAATCTTGCAATTCCTCATAAGTTGACCCTTGGCTTTTCAGTAAATCTGGAGTGAGGTCGTTCAAAAGGTAACAGTACCTACAAGATTGGAATTTGGAAATTTTAAGAGCTTAAACAAATTGGACGTGATTCTCTATGTGACATGTTTTCTTTAGAGAAATGTAATCCTTACTGCTGAACTTTCGCAATGAGCTTTTCAAGATCCCAGCTTTCTTTTGGAGTATCCGGGCCAATATTAGCCTAGTAATGGGAAAACCAGTTTCAGCTGTCGGTATACAAAGACTCGAGGGAAGAAAGAACTTGTTTTAGCAGCATCAATCTCAAACCTTACCTCAAGAATGTCATCCATTGTCAATTCAGCATACTCGATAATCAGAGGCTCCAGGCTGTCTGACACAAGGGCACGCCTTCTCTCTGTGTAAACACGATCTCTTTGGCTATTGAGAACCTCGTCAAATTCAAATAATTGCTTTCTGATGTCAAAGAAGTAGTTCTCAACTTTCCTCTGAGCTTCATCTAGAGCTTTAGTAAGCATCTTGGATTCGATAGGTAAGTCTTCCACCCTGAATGCTCTCATCATACCCTAAGAGTTATATGGCACCTACGTTTAGGCGATTATTCTCCAGAAGAATGAATAAGTTGCATATAAAAATGTCACCTGAATTCGATCTCCACCAAAAATGCGGAATATGTTATCTTCAAGACTTAGGAAGAACCGCGAACTTCCAGGGTCCCCCTGCCTGCCACTTCGCCCACGCAACTGTATGAGGGAAACAAAACATATTTAAGAAGGCTTATTTCACTGGAAAGGGAACCTGAATCAACCATAAATATCCTCACAACAATTATTCTAAGGAAACCTGATTGTCTATTCGGCGTGATTCATGCCTCTCTGTCCCCACCACGTGGAGTCCACCAGCTTCTACAACCTGCAGCAGTTTAGGAGAATAAAGATCAACAACATACACTTGACAGAGATTCATATACTGCTCTGCTGTAACAGAACTAACCTTCTTCCTTTCTTCATCCGTATAGCCCTTGTATTCTTTTGCTATCGCCAGAAATGCATTCCTCAGTTTACCAATGACTTCATCCTGGACAGGACCCTGAGAGGAGGAGGAAAGTTCAATAAATCAGATAACTAATTTAACATATCAAGACATACTTCCAGGATATATTAGTTTTTCACCTTTTCACAAGAGTAAGATAGACGTTCCTCTGCTTCAAGCTCAGTTAACGATTTTTGGCCCCAAGCCTCTACAGCTGATTGTACAGCTTCCTCAGCTAGCTTTACTTTCTCATCTGACAATTTGCATGGAAATAACTTCTCATTCACCTGAACAATAGAGTTTTCTGTCTATTAAGTTCAGTGTAACCATTAGAATCAATGCTTATCAAAACCAGACTCTTAAAAAGGCCAAACCTTCCACGTCCTCTTAGGAGGGGCCTTCTTCACAGATACGAAAACGCCATCAGTAGGCTTTACCACTCTGTAGTAACAGTCAAAGTGTAACAAAAATTCAGGTATAACGAAACCATGAACACCAAGGTTCTTCGTAAAACATACATAAGCTGTAGCAATTATGTCAAAGGTGGATATAGGATATATCTGATGTGCAGATAATATTTATTACCAAACTAGAATTATACCTACTTTGCTATGAATCTTATTTGTAACTAAGAATGGATCATGCCAGATACCTGGGCATAAGTATCTCACGGAGCTTCAAACGTGCCATAAACTCTGCATTTCCACCGAGAATTATGTCTGTCCCACGCCCTGCCATATTTGTGGCAATTGTTACTGCCCCTAAACGGCCACTTTGTGCTACAATTTCAGCTTCCCTCTCCACATTTTCTGGTTTGGCATTGAGGACCTTTTTGTACAAAATATATATAACATCATCTGTCAATTTTTTTTTACAGGGAATATAATTGTTTAGTTCAATTGGTTTCTCTTTACATATACGGTACTCCATTTATTTAGATTCCAAAACAAATTGGACTTATCACTAACGGGGCATAAATTTGAATTTAATTGTGCATATATACACGTCGAAGATTTTAAATCAAAATTACTTGAAAGCCTTACCTCGTGAGCTATTCCAGCTTCTCGCAATAGTTGAGATAGTTCATCACTCTGCTCAACACTGGTTGTACCAACTAGGACAGCCCTACCTGTCTTGTGCATTCTAGAAATCTCCACTACTACTGCCCGCCATTTGCCATTGACTGCCTTGAAAACCACATCCGACTCATCCTGCAAGTGATTTAACAAGGTAAAAGACTTGGAACGAGACATGGTTTTTTCAAAAAGACTAAACACCAAAATGGAAGCTAATACATCAGACAATGTCATTCAGAACTAGCATGGCTGCTTAACATATTCCCATTTTAATAGACCTCACCAGAAGGCCTACGAGCATACAATCTTCCAATGGAGAGAAATTCTGAAGAATCACCAGTTTGAATATGGAGGTGCAAGTTCAGAACATAAGATTATGAGACAAACCTTTCTTATCATGGGCTTATTTGTGGGTACAATTGTAACTTTGAGCTTGTATATGCTCTCAAATTCTGCACTCTCGGTCGATGCAGTACCAGTCATCCCGCAAAGTTTTGGAAACTACAGCAGAATTGAAAATTTGTATTACAAATGCGACATAACTATATTTAATCAGTGGAAAGTAGGCAATTCCTACCTGCAGAAAGAAATTTTGATAACTAATTGATGCCAGGGTGATAGATTCATTTTGAATAGGCAAGCCTTCTTTTGCTTCAACTGCTTGATGTAGTCCGTCACTCCAACGCCTTCCCTGAAAGAAACAACTAATTCAGTTGGTTCCTGTGTAAAGTTTTTTCTCTATGGTCTTTTTGTTGCCTAAGAATATTTCTCAGCCATAGCCACTGAGATCACTAAAATGATAATTAGAGATGATTCGTTCTTCTTATGATGAATATTTCATTTAATAAGCAAACAATATAAACAAGAACCTGCATCACACGACCAGTAAACTCATCCACGATAAGAACCTCCTTTGCTCGAATGATATAGTTCACATCTCTAAGAAAAAGTTCTTTTGCCTTGATGGCATTAAGGACATATGATGCCCACTGTTCACGAGGATCATACAAATCTTTCACATCCAGGATTTCTTCTGCATCCTCATAACCCTGTTCCGTTAATAAAACAGTCTTCTGCTTTTCATCAACCTACACCAAAAGAAACTTAGTGAGCAGTTAACATTTGAAGATAGATTGCTAAGTCCACCAAATATTTTCATACTACAACAGGAATAGCTGAGGGTTCTTACAGTGTAATGTATATCTCGCTCAAAGGCTGAGGCAATCTTTGCAGCTTTGTAATACTGGTCACTAGGTTTCTCTGCAGGCCCAGAGATAATGAGAGGAGTCCTTGCTTCATCAACTAGTATGGAGTCAACTTCATCAATAACACAAAAATTGAAATCCCTCAAGACGAGCTCCTCCACACTCTGTATATTCAGTCAGTAACTCAGCAATGACATTCAAAGAAAATTTATATAATCCAGAATGAAAGGAGAAAATAAAGCAAGAATTACTTTCCGTGGCAAGATTGTCTCTCAGATAATCGAATCCAAGCTCACTGTTGGTGACATATGTGATGTCACATAAATAGTTTTCCTTTCTTTGTTCAGGTGTCATATTCTCTGTCGAAGTAACAAAACATGTGAAACATCTATAAACAGGGAGAACAACACACTGACCAAGGAGTTGAGAGAAAGAGACATACGTTGGATTAGACCAACCTTCAATCCAAGGAATCGAGGAACTTGACCAACCCATTCACAATCTCTTCGAGCCAGATAATCATTAACTGTAACCACATGAACACCTTTCCCACTTAATGCATTCAAATAAGCTGGTAAAATGGCAACAAGTGTTTTCCCTTCACCAGTTCTCATTTCTGCTATTTCTCCTTTATGAAGAACCATACCACCTGCAATTAAACCAAATGGAGAGTCCTATTTCACTTAATCAACAGTCTTAACAGTGAAACCATAAGATTGCATTCCACAAAGATGATGTTACCTATTAATTGCACGTCGAAAGGTCTGAGTCCAAGAACTCTCCTTGAAGCTTCTCTGACAACAGCAAATGCTTCCTGAAATTTGAAATTTCTACAATTAAATCAAAATTTTGGTGTCCAACCAAAAACTAAAACTAAAGGATTGGAATAATTACAGGCAAAAGTGAATCCATGGATTCTCCTTTCTGAGCCCGTTGCTTCAACGCATCAGTCCTTCCACGCAACTCTGAATCCGAAAGAGCCGAAATCTCAGTCTCCAAACGATTAACGGAGGCGACGGTTGATGCGTACTGC